CAGGTTATGTGCCCAGAGCGTGCTTTGAACTGTCAGAAAAAATTGATCTAAAGATGTCCCAGCCTTGCCCACATGTCAAGGCACAAGTCTTCTAATTAGCTGTGGACTCAAAGCTGTTAGTTTCCACAGTACTGCACAAACAAACTGTTTCTTATCATAGCTAAGAAAGGGTAACTGTCAAACACCAAAATCCTAGTAAGGAAAAGGCATAGGTTGTGACCTTCATGTATTAACAAATAGTAATAAATGAGTGAGCAAAACATACACGTTTTCAGCTGTGGATAGATGTTTACCACAGGTCAGGTTTCTGTCTGTTAAGAGAAACTATTTGTTGAAGTTAAATAGTTCACGCCAGTCAGTACACAACAAGAAGGAATCTCTTCTCCTGGTGAAGATACTGCTCAAGAATAAGCACTATTTTACCTGCATCTTTGTAAGACATACGTGCATTGCAACCAGTCAGTTTTAACTTACCAACATTAAAATCCTAGGAAAAACAACACAACCACGAGCATTTTAGTTATTTTTTACCAAAAAAGAGAACAAAATTAAATAAACGAGAACAAAACAAAGCCACTTTTAGCAGGAAAGATAATGCCTAAAAAGTTGATGCAAGGAAATATTATCTGCTTAAAGATCAGAGCAGATTACTTAAATTCATGGCATTCATCTGTAAACATAACTTTAGTATGCAATCTTAAAAAGCAGAAAGCTCACATCTAAGAACTGCGGAGAAAACCGTTAGCAAGGGAGTCAGGATGAGCAGCAAAGGATGTTATTGTTCCTTTTTTTTCTTTTTTAACAACATCTCCAGTGTTCTCATTTGCTGTTTTATTTGATTTTAATGTATACAGATTATGGTAATTTTACATGCAAATGTCCTAATTAAAGCTGGGTTTCACTTCAGTTTATACAGTGTATTAAAACCCAGTTGACTTTAATTCAATGACACTGTCAAATTCAAAATTGATTGTAATGTCTCAAATGTAGTTTTGGAGACTGTTACCCACAAAATATGCATACAAAAAACCCCAACTTGTTTTTATGTTTCTGTGGTTTTACCCAGAACAGTCCAGCTGGGTTGCTAGATTGAAGATAAATTAATATATTTTAGTTGCATTTAAAAAAGCAAATACACTTTTCAGTCACATGATATGAAAATGTTCCAGCCAATATAACTCCTACTGTGTGCTTTCAAAAAATTCCCTTGTTCTGAAGTCAGTTCAGTGGCTATTAGAAGTACTCACTGATGTAAATTCCATCTTTTTTATGAAAAGAGTTTGAACAAAGTATTGATTGTCCAGAGTTTATAAAAAAAGTTAAAACCTATAAAATGTTGGCATTACTACTATTTGGGGCATGAGAATGACATGCATATAAATCTTACTTTATTGGCACAGTCTTTTATCCACAGAAAGAAGGCTTTGCTGAAAATTAAATTCATCAATGTACTGTAATTCCCCTCTTTTATAGATTTCTTCTTAAAGTATTCTGAGTCGGGAAAAAATCTGAATCAAATCTTAGTCTGCAGTAGGAATCAGGGGCACAAGAGGCCTCTTATGATATGGGTTAATTATGGTAGAGGGGCAGAGTAGGCAGAGTTTGGGGAAATCAGTGTGGATGGAAAGACCTTGGTGGGAAGCTTTGGGAACAAAGGTCGTTTGTATAGCTGATATCCTTCCATGCAGTCTCAACCGCATCCCTATTAGACCTGGGGACAGTAATCTGTTGCTCCATTTTGTAAGAAAGAGTCCTATTATCATCATTTACAAGAGGTAACAGTTTACTAAAGGCTTTCACAGCATTCTGACCGTTCCTACCCGTCATGATGTTAGTGAAAGAGACCTTTTATGCTGACAGATTTTCTTAACAGCAGGGGATTTTTCTGGTGACGTTTTGGCAAACCTTGATCTGCAGCCCCTCTAGCAAGGACAGGCAGAGCAATTGCCTACCAATATTTGGCTAAGCGTAAGAAGCCACCCTTGTGCCTCATACACCCATGGCTTTGCTTGATCAACAGCTGATGAAAATTAAGAAACTTCTCTCCTGGTCTAGACCCAGATGAGATGGCCAGGTCTATCTACATTCATGCTGTTGGCCTGTGATTTGTTGCTTTAAAATGGCATCCAAATAGGAAACAAATGTTCAGGTATCACTGGAAGTGGTCTAATTCTCTTGGATTTTATGAGTAGTCTGGTCTTAGCAACAGGAAGATTTTGAAATTGTTGGTCACCTAATCATTCTTTTGTTTAAAACATCTGCTTTTAAAAGTTTCACCTCTGTTAGAAACCGTAGGATAGCTGTAGTAACCTAGGCTCAAAGGATATGGCCCACTGGATGATAAAAAAGCAATGGCACAAACTACACAGGACCAATCAAGTCCTGAGAATGGAGCACCTCATTTGCATTATTCCAGTTCCAGACAACTAAAATGTCACTGAAGTTACACCAGAGTAAAACAAGAGAAACAGCAGTGACCCAGCCCAAGAATTCTCCCAGATAATTCTTTCCCTTTTCTCTTCCAGTAGCAGAATTATTGGCAGCCACCAGGGATCTTTGCTGTAGTTATCTTTGAAGTGCTAAGCACTGAAGAACAAATGCTGTAGCAATTCTGTTAAGTCATTCTACTGGACTGCAGGGCTTGTGGGTGGGATTCTCCCAAGTGAAAAATACGGTAATGCCACAAGACTAAGTCTTTACTATTTCTTGGAATTTTAGTAATAGCCATAGAATTTGCTGCTGGCACCTGAATCAATAAGCAATAAGCAAATTAAACAACCAAGCCTCAGTTCTGCAGTTTTTCTTCTCATATGATGCTTACTAAAACACATGTGGTGAACAGATTCACAAGTGGATTCCAGAATTTTCAAGCAAAAATGCCTAAATTCAGGTTCAGAAATCCACATGTAAGTTTTTTAGGAAGGTCATGGTCATTTTCCAATTTTCTTGAGATACTAAATATTGTAAACACTGGAGATTTAAAAAAAACCAACAAAAACCAGCAAAACCAAAAACCCAAAACCCAACCACAGAACAAGCCAATCCAATTTATGCAGGTCTTTAATCTCAATTGGAGTCCGCATTATGACTGTTTTCTAGAATTGTCCATTGTAGGCATCAGGACTACTTCTGTGAAGGCTGAAGGAGGCATGGTCTAGCAGTCCTGATGTGTTCTCAGATGATCCTAGTTCTCTGGAGCTAAAATACAACCAGGAGAGCTGATTAAGATGATGTACATATGGCTAATGAGGATACCTTCTATTCTGTCAAGTTTGGAAACTTGTCCCACAGACTGACAAGGGATATCCCCACTGGAAGCACACTATTTCCATTCATCTTAACAAAGTGGTCCATCACTGATGATGTGGCATAACTAATTTAAAACCCTGCCTGTACTAAATAATTTCATCTTCAGATAAGTCAAGGAAAAAAATAAGCATAGATTGGAAAACTATGAAGAAAGGCTACCAAATCCACTCATTTTAACAAGAGTTTGGCAACTTCTGTAAGTTAGAGTGGTTGCATAGATGCGTAAGTTGTGCCAGCTTGTCTGCACACATAGCATATAATATCCACATTCAGAAATGTTGTGTTCCAGCCCAAGGATTCTTCATTTAAAGCAGACAATGAATGAGTTGCGCAGTTCTGCTTGCGGCTGTCTTCCCTAGTGTTTGAGCATATTTTTAAGCCACATGATCTGTTTAGGAGAGCCAAAACTATGTGTATTAATGACAGTTGCAGAACTGGGTGTGAGAGACCTAGACAGCCTGATGGCTTGTAAAAATTGAAGTATGGAGACAGTAAAGAGACATAGTTACCAGGACAAGGAGTTACGTGTGTATTAGAATAGCCTGTGCATCAGGGAACGTGTAATTCCGCCACAGTGTCCTCTACTGGCTAAGCCTGAATCTCTGAAAATGATGATGCATTCATGCTGATTTTTCTCTACCCAATTTAATACATTTCAAGAGAATCATACTTTCAACGGCCCATCACCTTCACCTCATCTCTTTCTGCCCTTAATACTTTTAAAAACCAAGAAAGCAAAGTCTTTATGGACTATAAAGTCTTCATGTTTACTCTCCAGCTCTTAAGACCTCTGCCAGAATCAAGGAAGAGTTTCAAGATGGGGAATTTAAATAATTTACTGACAATTGGCAAATTTCTGTTTACTGATTCTGATACTAAAAAACAAACCAACAAACAAAACTTCCTAAGGAAAAACACCTCAGCTCCCTTCCATGTACATCTCTGCTCTTTCTGGTCTCCAGTAACCTCACTGCGGGCTACGCTCAGTCTCTCTGGGGACATGAGGCCTGGTGCAGAAGATGGGGGTCAGCAGATGGTGTCTACTTTTCTTTTTCCACTCCTTGCTCATGTTCAGTTGCCCCAGGGTAGGTTCCTCTAGCATTTGCTGACCCACGAGAGTTGAGCCTTCTCCTCTCTGCCCTTGCTCAGGCAGCTTTTCTTCCTCTAGCCCCTGCTTAGGATCATATTTTGCTCCAGCATTTCTCCTGCTCTGCCATCTTTCCTTTCTCCTCCTGCTCTGGTGTGGTCTTCTCAATTTCTCTCCTCTTTCTCCACTGATGATGTCTCTTTTTCTCAGCATTTACCACTCTTTCTTAAACACATTCACAGGGAGGTGACAGAAACTCCTCTGACCGCTTCAGCATTGCAGGCAGAGCTGGTTGCAAGTGGCTGCATCTGGCACAGGGTGGTCTGTGACCTCTCACAGAGACCACCCCACAGTCACACCACTATCAAAACCCTGCCAGTTCTGCCCAGTACACACCTCAATCCTGCCTTGGTAACAAAAAAAAGGTCCCTTCCAACCCAAACCATTCTATGATTCTATGCATCTAAATGAAAGCAGGGCTTTCTGCAGCTAGCCCATGCACGTCCCCTGGGTGTGCTGCTCCAGAGGGCTTCAGCTTGCAGGCTCAAGGCTCTGTGCTCTGCGTGGCTCCTGCAGACACCAATATCCTGTATGCTGCTTTCAGGTTCTGGACGACAGCTGAGACCAGCTGAGCCTCTAGGAGATGCTGATGCAGATGCAGAGGATGAAGATTCTGTGAGTTTCATACAGTTGGGGTTTTCTGGGGGGATGGGGGCTTGGCAGTTACCTTGTTAAAATGGGATCTCAAATATTTTGTTTATAGCTGGGTCTTGCTGGTGATTTCTCTCCCCATTAAAAATGTTTCTTTGCTTGGTTTTCTCCTGCCAGCTCAAAAGCCAGAATGATGCTTCAATGTAAAATGATCTGCTCATTGCCACGATTCGCCAGCATAAGCTTAATACCAAGACTTAGCAAGCTATTACAGCAATTACGTTACTGTTGACTACAGTAACTTTTCTTTAAAACTTTAGCTGGTTTAGGTTCCCTGTTGTTTGACTCCAGAAGGAAGTGTGCCAAGTGCTTGCAGCAGAAATTCCTGCCAGGACTCTTTCATCGTTTGCGTGGTTATAGAGGGCAATAGGGTTTGAAGCCGCAGGATGCAAAAGTTAGGTGTACAACTAATGGGGGTGGGGGGGGGTGGGGGGGAAGAGATTTTTATTGCCTTTTAAAATTATTATTACTTGATCTATCAGTATTTTCAGTCTGTTCAGCCCATAGATGCATACAATACAGAATGAAAACCAAAATCAGCACACCATTGTTTTTGTTTCCCAGGAGTCTCTCCCTTGTGTTCTTGAGTAACATCCTTAAATGAGAAGTGTGTTTGTTCTTGACATAAGATAAGAGTTACTGATTATTCTGCATCTGTCATTATTAATGAAAGATTTGTACACAGATGGAGACTACGCCTAAATAGAAAAACTGTTCTAAAAAAATTGGTCACTGTTTAATAGTTTATGTTCCTTTCCCTCCACTCATTTCTTTTGAACAGGTTAATGAAGTGGCAGTAGAAGACATCCGTCCAAGGCCACAGGGATCCTCTCCAGTTTATGAATATTCCATAGAAGAAGAATATTTAAAGGCAAGAGACTGAGTTTTCATGCAGGCATGGCTTTACCTAGTTGATTCAAGAGGCTTTAGCTCCTACAACTAGCAGAGACTCTTATGTCATGTAACGCGATGTTGTTGCAGCCATGTCTTCCTGTCCCCACCAGAATCAGGGCCATGCGCATTGATGGGTTTATATTGTACCAGACTTGCTGTTGGCCATGTTCTTTTTTTTTGGTAAAAAAATGCATGTGAGTTCATTCCTTAAAGGACTGTCAAGAAATCCCAATGTTTTGCCTATTAGAACGTTTAACTGACTTGAATCTAATTTGTATTTCAAATTTACCTGTATTTCTTTGTTATTCAAAGTTAAAGATTTAATTAGTACAGTTATGTTAAGTAAGCAACAGTTTGAAATTCATGCTGAAATCAAATAAATGAAAAAAATATACGTTCACAAAGATGAAAGCATGAGAAATATGCTACGTGATAGCTACATGCTACATTATGCTACATTATTCTACATGAGTAACACACAGAAAAGCTCCCAAATGTTTTAATATGATTGGTCTCTGGCATTCATTTCATGCAAATTTTGGTACAGTGCATGGAGGTCTTGGCATCTCATTTACTACTGGGACTAATATAGTTAAATAATTCATGTTGTATATTGCACTTGTAGATGCCAGTTTTGCTTTGTTGTCACTAAAGTCAGCATCAGTTCTTAGTCTAAACCAGGAATTTTAACTGATGAGGGACTTCTGTTCTACTTTACAACAGCATGACTTCTGAACACTAAATAATGGCAAATTGTTTTTCAGCTTCAAGAAGAAAAAAAAAAGTATTCTACAGACAAATCAAAACATCATCCACAGGTTGGTATAAAAGCACTCTGTAAGTTCAGGCATGTGGCTTGCAAAATAGTAAAGTCTGTTATAACACACAGATGTGGATGGGTGGACAGAGGGAAAGACAAATGGGCAAAGGATCACTTTAGACTTGTTTTGACCAGGAACTTCACAAATTGCTAGTTGTAGTACAGACATGAACACTTAGCCTATTTTGATATTTCCATAATCCTTTTTAGCATTCTTTGGCCTTCTCTGGTTTGAGTATAGTACAGCATTAGCTCTTAGTCTGACTTTTCTGGCCCATTTACTCTAATTCAGGTCTAACATCTTCACAGAAAATACAATCTTTCAGCTCTAAAGTATTCTATATGTATTGCATTTAAAATTGTAACTTATTTTCTCTGTAGCCCTGATCTAGCATAACCCTAACATGTATTTAGTTCTAATTTAGAGGAGAATCAAACCCACAATGAACAAGTACATTCTCTGTTTTAGATAATCTTTCTTGAGCTACTGAAAATATACATGAGGACATTCAGGTTTTTTATAGTGATGTAGAACACTGATACAAATGAATAAAAATTATAAATTCACGTCTTTTTCTATATCTAGGAGACAATGGAAGTGACCCTGAAAACAGAAGTGGAAGCTGGTGCTAGTGGTTTTAGTGTGATAGGTGGAGGAAATGAAGGAATATTTATTAAAAAAGTACTGAAAGAGTCTCCTGCTTCAAAAATATTTAGTCTGAGAGAAGGTACAGTCTGATTTTCTGGGTTGGTTTTTTGGTTTTGGTTTTTTTTTGGATTTTTTTTTTTTAGTTTGGTTTTTGATTTTGGCGCTTTTTATTATTTTATTTACACCTACCGATCTGCCATCTCTTTACATAATAGAAATAGTAGATCCTAAACCAACTAATGTTATGTATGAGCTTAACCTTTCCATATTAATTATTTCAAAGATCAGTTTCTTAATTATGAAATATGATTTATTTTTTTTTATATCATGAAAAAAAAAAATCTAATTCTGACTGGGAGAGTGAAAAAGACACATAGAAAGTAGTATATACACAACTAAAATGAAAAAAAATCCCAAATCTCAGCAACCCAACTCACAACATTCATGAAGAACCTGCCTTCAATTCTTTCACAAAATAATATGCCACTAAACTACAATAAATAATGATTTAAATAAAAACAAAAGTCCAAAATCTAAATACTGAAGAATGTAAGAAAAACTGTTATTACTATCAATCAGGGTCATCAGTCACTGGAACAGGATTTCTAGAGAGGTTGTAAGTTAGCATCCTTGGAAATATTCAAAACCTGACTGAACACAGACCTGTGCAACCAGCTATAGCTGACCCCTCCCTGAGCAGGGCAGCTGGACTAGATGATCTCCAGAGGTCCTTTCTAGCCTTAACTATTCTGTGATTCTTTTATGTGAACATAATTTCATATTTTAAATAAATAGGGTGTGATCATTTTTTTCTTTTTTTTGCATGCATTAATTCAACAAAAGTTGAAAAACTGCAAGAAAACACTAATTCAAATCATGTTTGATTCCACTTTCAGGTGATCAGCTTCTAAGTGCTACGATATTTTTTGATAATATCAAATATGAAGATGCACTCAAGATTCTCCAATATTCCGAGCCATACAGAGTCCAATTCAGCCTCAAAAGAAAAATTGCAGGGAAAGAAGAGTTAGAACACACTCACTCTACAGCCCAGCACAAAAAGGAAAGAAGAAGCCAGGTAGATATTTGATTAGTTTAAAAAGTCTGGCTAACACTGTAGTAATGTAGAAATAGACCAGAAAATACACACTCATGTATTCTTTATACTTAGATTTGTGCTTAAACTTGCTAGCATGAATGTTCATGAGAAGCAAAAAGTCCCACATAATATTTGCAACTTTTTTAATACCCTGGGCAAAACTATAGATCTGGGGTAAAGCCACAGTCTTGTGCTAGGGTAGAAAAACATTCTCTAGTGAGGATCCTTTTTTTTTTTTTTTTGTTAAATGTGCACTGATAGAACAGGCTCAGATTAAGTTCTGTTTATCTTCAGTATTGTCCAAAATGTAAAATAACAGTAAATATTTTTCTCAAAAGCTCATTAATGAAATTTTCTCTTAAAAATGTGTTTAGTTACTGATATCTCCATAGACATGATGTGCTCATGGGTCTCTATCACATTCAAAATTATTTTTCTCTTCATATACATATATATAAATGTTACATATACATTTGTACAGACATACATAAAGATACATATAGAAGCCTCTGTTTACTGCAATGTTTTGCAAAAAATGTAACCTTCAGAAATCCATGTATTATAGACATATAATTTTTTAAATGTAATTTCTGTCTGAATTATATACAACATTTTCATATATTTTATATATTTCATATATTATTTTATATAACAACCAGATACTGTGAATAAAAATACAACTGAGTATTGCATAGTGTGTGTTCTATTTCATGTTGAATTTATATTTAGTTTAGTTTTAATCTTCCAATTACTATTTGTTCTTTCAGGAAAAAGAACTCAGTGAGAGCATTCCTGAAGAAACACTGCATATTTCAGGAAAAGCCATTTCAGAAGAAGACCGGGAAACACTAATTGTAAGCCAAAGGGTAGGAAGAAGCAAGAGACCTAAAAAAGATAGATTGTCATGGCCAAAATTCCAGTCAATCAAAAATAAAAAGATACTGGGGCACAGAAGATCTCATAGTACATCAGATGCATATGAGTCTGCTATACAAGATATTTCCCCTACAAGCACAGACACAGAGTCTCAATTTCAACAAGAAGTCCATATCAAAGAAAAAAAAGGAAGCCAAAAGAAACTGAAGTTCCCAAGCATTGGATTCAAAATGCACAGATCCAAAGCAGAACCTCAAGACAGGCCAAAAAAAGAAATAAAAACTACACTGTTAACTGAAAGAGAGAAAATACATAAAGAAGATATCAACCTGGAAAATCCTGAAATTTTAACTGTTGAGTATACCACATCACCTGCTTATGAAATTGAAAGAGGAGAGGTACGTGAAACTTTAACAAAAGACTTAAGCGATATGCAAAATGGCATTCCATCTCATGCAAAAAAATGCCCTGAAGTTGAAATAAGCATTAAAAAACAAAAAGAAAAGGAATCAACATCAAAATTTACTGTACCTGAAGTATCAGCTGTAGCAACACAGATAACAAAGCCCAGTTTAGAAATACCTGATCTGAAAGAAAGCCCAACTAAACAAGTACTGCCATCCTCCTCAAAATCTCGAAAAAAGAAGCAGAAAGGAACAGCAGATAAAACAGAAGGAGAAAGTGGAATTAACATAGACATGATGGGACCCACAGCACAAGAATCTATACAGGTAAAAGGTCTAGAAATAGCTGCTAGAGCAGAATTACACACATCTGACATGCCGGAAACAAGTGAAAAACAAGCAGAAGAAGACATACAAATACTAACAATTCAACAATCAAAATTTGGGATTTCGATGACCAAAATAAAAGAGCCAGAGCCTAAAAAGACCAAGCTGGGAAGTGATGATCCACATGTGGAACCAGAAAGAATAGGTGATATGAGTTCAGAGGACAGCAGGAATTTGGATATGAAAACTAACATGCCTAGTACAGAATCGGAAGTATCTACTTGGAGAATACAAATGCCATCATTAAAAATTAAAAAAACACCTAAAACTGACATAAAAATACCAGGAGAAGGAAGCACAACAGAACAAGTAGATACTGTGACAAAGGCACTGATAGAAGATGGCATGCCAACAAGTGATAAAACTTTGAAGATGGACTTTGGCATGAAAACAGGAGAAAAAGATATGGATGGAAAAGAAAGCAAATTCAGACTACCAAAATTTAAAATGCCTACATTTACCTGGGCAACTGCAAAAGATGAGACAGAAGGTCACGTAAGCAACAGTGAAGGAAATTTAGTATCTGCACAAGCTGAAACAAAACAAGAGATGAGTGTATCAGAAGAACAACTAAAGGTTCCAAGTGCTGAAAATAAAATAGGGACAATAAAAGTAAAAAGAAAAGATAAGGATATTACACAGAGGCCAGAAGTCCAGTCGGCAAGTCAGGAAAATCAAAATGTAAAAACGATCTATATGGAGAATCATAATGAAGAGAAAACAGAAGATACGATGATTACAAAATCTGATGTTAAAATAAAAAAGGGAGAAAGCAGTGTAATATCAAATCAATCAGTAGAAATGACTGAACCGACATTGGCAAGCATCAAAGCTCCCAAGGTGGACGTCAGCCTC